TTGCAACAACCCTTATGGATCTTGGTGAATCAAGTTCATACATTCACTTTCCAAGCAGTCATCCCAACTAGTGGCTTTGTTTCTCTGCAGAGCCAAGTTAGGAGTGTACACTGACAATGGATCTTGCTGGAATGCAAATCTTCCCGATTTGGATCCTCAAAGGATGAGTTTTGCCAATTCTAGAGCCCAGTTTGCCCAATTCCAGACAAGGTGCTAAGTCACAGCCCCACTTGCTGAAAGAGTACCTTCCAGTCACATTAGGGGCAGGTGACAACTCCTGGAAGCTCAGTGGGCCTGGCAGCACTCCAGTCAAGAGATAACAGCTAACTACCCACAGAGCAATGCCAATACCAGGCCAGGGGCTCTTTCTGTTAGGCGGAAGTTACCCCAGGTTCCTCTGAATCTCAGGCTTATTCAGAAATTTAAGAATGGACTGTAGCAACCCTCATCTTCCTGTTCAGGTTAGGGGCTGGGGACATAGACCCATCATCTGTGGAGAGTTCCTTCTGTTCCCTTCTGATCTAAGGGGCTGACAAGAACACCTGAAAACTGTGCAGCCCAGCTGTACATGACCTGAGAGAAGGTCACAAAGTAGTTTGCAGAGCAAAGCCTCTGACCCCGTTTGCCAGGGGATATGGGGTATGGGTATGCTTTAGTTAAGAGAACAGTGAGTTTTACTGGTTTTAGAGATGATTCTCCTGCTGAACTTAGGCAGGAAATTAATTCCTAACCTCACTTGTCATGAATATGACCATCAGCCTGCCTACCGAACCTAACCAAAGTGTATGGAAGCTGCATAGCACATCAATATCCCTTCACACAATCACTTGTGAACACTGAGAACAAGCTGTGACTTTCCAATTTGCATAATAAAGCCAGTGGCCTCATCTGACCAAGGAATTCAGTGTATCATCCATCAGTTCTGAGTTGTATAGGCCCTGGGGAAGGAAGATAATTCGTAGCCCCACTTACTACTGAATATAGCACCCTATCCCAATCACCCAGTAAGCCTGATCAGAAAATTCAGGCAACCAGAGGCCACCCTACAACCTCAATTGGAAAGGGAAGCTAGCCAGGAGGCCTATCCAACTGCTATCAGTGGCACAAATCCATCCCCATCCTTAGAACTCAAACAGTTGCCTCGCCTAGAAATAGACCTTAATAACAGGCCCCACATGCCCAAGAACATTTTCAGCACATACATCCAAAAAGCCAAACTAAACTGACTGGTGAAGAACTATCTATGCCAAAGAAATCCTATAAAGTCAGAAGGAGGCATCTCATTACTCAAATGTGCAAATGCCAACATGAAGAATTAAGGCTCAAAAAAAAAAAAAAAAAGAATTAAGGCTCATGAAAAATCAGGTAAATATGACACTTCCAAATGAAACTAATAAAGTTCCAATAATTGATCCCAAAGAAGCAGAGATTCATAGATTGTCAAAGAATTCAGAATAATCTTAAGGAAATTTGGTAAACTATAAGAAAATACGAACAAGTAAATAAAATTAAGAAAACAATGCTTGGGCCTCCCTGGTGGCGCAGGGGGTTGAGCGCAGCACTGTGAAGCTGTCTGCAGCCTCTGCAGTGTGGGTTCAATCTTCAGCAGGCCAGAGAGATACCCACGTGGTGCAGCAGACCTCTCCTGTCTCAGCCACTGCTCCCCTCAGCAATGTATCTCAGTTAATCTGCCTGTTCTACTCCCTACTCTGTCTCTGGTGAATCCACTCACCCTCCCCACCTCTGGCCTACACCCCAGTTCTTGTATGCACAAAATCTTAAAAAAAAAAAAAAAAAAAAAAAAACAATGCAGACTAAAATAAGTTCATCAGGAAATGCAAACCTCAAAAAAAAAAAAAAATCCAGAAATCCTAGAAGTGAAAAATACAATAACTGCAATGAAAACCTCAATGCAGAATACCGTAAGGAGACTCTACCATGCAGAAGAAAGAATCAGCAAGCTAAGGAATAAGGTATTTGAAATTGCCCAGTTATAAAAGCAAAAAGAAAATATAAAAAGTGAATAAAGTCTAAGCTATTAAGGGACGCAATGGGGGAAAAAACAGTATTCACAATATGGGGATTTTAGAAGAAGAAAAAGAGAAAGCAACTGAAAATATATTTAAAACTATACTGGCTAAAACTTGCCAAACTTTTGACGAGATAAAGACATATGTTGAATCCAAATAAGGCCATACTGAGACACGTTACAATTAAATTGTCAAAAATTACAGATAACAATTTTATTTATTAACAGAAACTCTTTTGGAGAGAATGGGATAACATTTTCAAAATATTAAATGAAATAATATTCAACCAAGAATTCTATATCTCATGAAACTCTTTCAGAAAAAAAGGAGTGATAAAGACTTTCCTGAACAAACAAAAGCTGAGGGAATTCATACCACTAGACCTTCCTCATACAGAGATTCTAAAAGGACTTCAGTAAGTAAAAGCACCAATTAACACCATAAAAACATAAAAATGTAGAATTAATCTCACTGGTATGGTAAATATATGGTCACAGTTCTATAAAATGGTAACAGTGCATAACTCACAAGTCTACAATAAAATAACGTTTAAAAACACAGTAAAAACCATAAGTACAATAATCCATACACTTAACTTACACAGTGATATATGTCATTTCTCAGTAAAATGGGAAAAAATAACTGAGGATATAAATGTCAATTTTCTAGGTATATTTTCAGGTACAGGGTTGTACATTACAGAAATTAATAATGCAAGGTTGTAATTTATGTAACAAAAGTAATTTATCTGGTCTTAGCTTTAGCTACAAACTGACCATCTGATGACTCCAGTAAGAGCTGCCAAGTAAAGGGAAGAAAGTGATAAAAATTAAAGCAGAAACAAATGAAATAGAAATTTAAAATAGAACCTAATGAATGAAACCAAGATGTGGTTTTCGAACTCACAAAAAGACAAAACTCAAAATCAGAAATGAAATAAAGTTACAATAGATAGCACAGAATTATAGAGAATCATAAGAGAATATTTTAAACACCTATATGACAACATATTGAAAAACCTACAAGAAACAGATCAAATCTGAAAAACACACACTATTTCCAGGAAGAAGTAAATAATAAGAACAGAACAATCATGAGTAAGTAAACAAACATAAATCAAAAGCCTCCACCAAAACAAAAACCCACTCACTAGAGATGGCTTCTTCACTGGAGAATTCTACCAAACTTCCAAGGAATTAATTCCTATCCTCCTCAAATTCTTCTAAATATTTGAAGAGTAGGGAAGACTTCCAAACACATTTTATGAAAACACTATCAAAATAGTGAAACCAGACAAGGGCATCTCCCAAACCAGTATCTCTGATGATAGAGGCAAATATCCTCAACAATATACTAGCAAACAGAATTCAACACTACATGATTAAGTGGGATTCATTCCAGTGCTGACTGAATATATACTAATCAAAAAATGTGGGCTACTATACCAACAACAGCAAATTATAAAAATCATTATGATCAACACAATAGAGGCAGAAAAAATGAGAAAACACATCATCTGTTTACGATAAAAAAAAAAAAACCCTAACAAAATGAGTATAGAAGGAACATACCTCATGGACTATGAGGTATCATTATGACATAATAAAATCACGCATGACAAACCCATAACCAACCTCACACCTAATGTGAAGAAAACCTGAAAGTTTTTCATCTAAGATCAGGAGTAAGAGAAGGTTGTCCACTTTCACCACTATTATTTCAGATAATGGATCTCCTAGTAGAGCACTAATATAAGAAATGGATGAGTTACCCAGATTAAACAACATGATAACACATGAAGAAAACCCCAAATACTCTAGTAAAAACTATTAGAATAAATGTAAAGTGAGAGGCTACGAAAATAATATTCAAAAATCTATTACATTTGTCTGTTCAAAATAATGAACTAGCAAAAAGAAATCAGGAAAACTCACTTACAATTGCATCAAAAAGAATGAAATACACTAAAATAAATTTAATCAGAGCCCTGTACAAGAAGACTATAAGATATTGAAAGAAATCAAAGAAGACACAAAGAAATGTAAAGATATTCCATGCTCATGGATCTTGTATTAGGGAAATACAAATCAAAACAATAAGCTATGACCTCACAACTATGAGAATGGCTATTAACCAAAGACAAGAAAGAACAGGTAGGAGAGGATGTGGAGAGATGGGAACATGTACATACTTTAGGTGAGAATATAAGTTGGTACAGCCAAGATGGAAATCTTTATGGAGACTCCTCAAAAAATTTAAAATAGAAATTCTATGTGACCTTGTTATCCCTCTTCTGGAATAACATTACCTATGGGTGTTCCCATTACCTTAAAATTCAGAAACACTAATTGGAAAAGCTCTACATACCATTTTCACTGCAGCATTATTTATAATAGCCAAAGTTGGACAATATCCAAATGTCCAGCAAAAGATACTGGATAAATTATATATATAGACAATGTAATACTATTCAAGTTACAAAAATATTAAGCCCTACCATTTCAGTATCATAGATGAACCTAGATGGTATTATGCTGAGGGTTGGGTAAACTTGACAATTCTACAGTGAAGGACAGAAGTGGACTTTTAGTGGTAAACTTCATTTAGTGTACCCAGATGCTGATTTCTAATGATACACACCTCAAATTCATGTTGTAATGCAATGTTACTTCAATAAGAGTGGCTAAAGGGCCTCCCCTGATGGTGCAGCGGTTGAGCGCTGGGTTGCGAGGCTGCCCGCAGCCTCTGCAGTGCCAGTTCAATCCCCAGCCACTGGTGTGGGTCCCACAAAAAATAAATACTTAAATAAGAGTGGCTAAGTACATGCCCAGTGATTCTCATGACAGACAGGGAAGGTTGGGTGTGGGGAGGATCCGGGACTCTACATGGCAGCTCCCTGCCGATCTCCTCAGGAGAAGAGGGAAATGAAGCACCATAAGCAACTGATAAAACCCTTCTCTAGCTGCCTACCTTCCCAGTGACCAGAGATCAGAAAAGCTAATGAATGACTTCATGGCAGGAACTCCTCCCAGAGTCCACTCACTTCATCATCTCAGCTCAGATTCAGTTGCCATGATTTCATAAAGAGAAACATTCTCAGATTACTCTGAACAAATAGCCTCCATGATGAAGCCATTCTACTAGATCTTTTCTTTGCCTTTTTTTTTTTTTTCAGGATATTGGGATTTAGCCAGTTTTAGGCTAAATCTCTTGTTCCTTGGATTCAGACTCCAGACAGATTAAGCCATGTCAAATGGCAGATTCAGTGATGACCAGATAAACATTTTATTGTGACAATTTCACTTGGTCATTCATCAAACAGGTAAAAAATGGACCCACTTTTCCTCAGACAGGTGCAAGTATAAAGCAACCACTTATTCTGCTTTGAACTGAACACTTCAATGCATGATCACAGTCTCCAGTTTTACAGCTCTGTATCCTCATCTTCTGGGGAGCTTGTTTGCTAGGCTGTGTTAAAGAGAAGAAACACAGGGTTGCCTATGGAACTCAACTGGGGCTGGTTTACTTCAATGGAGCGATGCTAGGGACAGAGCTCTGGCCTCAGTCCAGGTCAAGTGCTTTTCTCTTGCCACAGAAACAGAACACTAACAAAGAGGCCAAAACAGCCTCTTCTCCATGCCAAGTTTGGCAGTAATTAGAGAGAGCTTCATGGAAATCCATGAAGGACCAGGTATTTGTCATCAGCAGTTTTGTTTTTTTTTTTTTTTGCTTGTGCAGTGATCATTTATCTGATGACAAAAACTTTGACTCTATAAAATATTTAAATTATAACTCACATTATGATCTTTCGTTTTTTTATCTTTTTTATGAAGGTATCAGAAAGCATCATATCTTAGGTACTGATTTATAAATTTTTAAAAGGTAATTCTGTTAATTCTGTTCGTGGAGTTGCCAAAAAATTAATAACCACCCTGCATACAGATTCATCAGGGACCCAAGCAGAGACCCACCACCTGAGTTTGCACCCAAAATATTTTTGGCGCATCTTAGAACCACGGCTGCACATCTTTGTGTTGACATCGACATTAAGACAATCATGTGTTTCTATAGCAGGATGCTAGCCCTTGTCCACAATTCAAATGCTTCACTTCACCACAGCTGTGCAAAGGCCTTTCTGACCCTGTTTTAATTAGTATAATTAACTTCCAAAGTTAAAACTCTAGCATGGTATTTATTCAGATTTTATCATTTAATATTCAAAGAGAAAAATCTCTGGAAATGATGTCATCATTAGGAAATCATCTTGCTTTTTTTTTTAACTATGCATCCAACAACAGCTAGTAGGCATTCACAGCCATCTGCCCAGTTATACATCCTATTTTTGCAAAATTATATATGTTTATACTCTGGTCAAGCAAGTGCTACCCAGAGACACTTGCTATGTTGAGTATGCAGGAGTACTCCATTCTGCCTCTTTTTCATGGCCTCCTATACAAAAATAAAGGTCATTTAGAAATGACCCCCTATCTCCTAAGTTTTAGATTGCATTTACAGAAGCCTAGGTATTTCCAAGTTTTAATATCAGAAGTTTTCCTACATTAAAATTTTTTATAAAATATCAAATGGAAAAGAAGTTCAAAAATATAAACCTGAGACTCATTGTCAGTTTACCACTCTACATGGCGATCAGTGTTTTTCCTTTCAAAAACACATGGATGATTTTTGTCGGGGGCTGGAAGAAGGGACAAAAATGAGAGACAGGGGAGAGGTTAAGGGAGGGAACTTATGTGAATGAGAAAGAATTGACAGCTAAACTGAGAGAACTATAAAAGGCATATGGAGAAAGCAATTTGGGGACAAGAAAACAAATGTGTGTTTCTCTGTAGCCAAAAAGCATATAGGACTCACAGGATTACAAAACATCTAGTCTTTGAAGAAAATACTATTAAAAAAAAAAGGCAAATAAACTTTGTAAAGGGAGTGAATTGCAAGGGATGGCAGACATTAAAGAGAAAGTAAAGTAAACAGGTAATGGAGATGCAGAGGAGACATCAAGATACTAAAAGATGATCAGCTACAGGGTGCTTTGTAAAGACTGGTTTCCAGGGGTTTCCAACAGCACGCCAATTGTTGCCATGAACAATGAGCAAAGTTTCTTAATTTCTTTTCCAATACAGATTTTTTTTCTGTAGATACACACCCATGTGTCTAGAGGAAGTGGTTCTCTAGTAGGTAGTGTTCAGTCACTGGAAGAAGAAATTTATGGCACCATAGAAATATTTTGAGAATCTAGAGAAAAGCTTTTTTTAAAATATGCTTGATGTTCACTTTTATATTTTGCCAAAGTAGCAATCAAGATTTTTTTTTTTAACCTTCAGGAGTTCATTCACTCTCAACTGCTAACTCGTTATAAAAACAAGCACACTTAACTATTCCCCAGTGACCCAAAGGGATAATGGCATTAGATTTTCTTTTTCTTTTTTTTTTTTTATTTTGCTGAATAGTATTCCATTGTGTATATGTACCACATCTGTTTGATCAAGTCATCCATTTTGGGGCATTTGGGTTGTTTCCAAGTTCACCTATTATAAATAGTGCTGCAATAAACATAGGGGTGCAGGTATCCTTTTGAATTAATGTTTTTGTGTCCTTCGGGTAGATCAAAATCTTGTTTTAAAAAGAAGTTAGCATGTGTGCCCATCACTGCACACCATAGCATTAGAGGAGCCGAATGGAGCCCATTGCTGTTTTGGTAACCTAACTTGTTTATATAATCTGATAGAACTGGTCATATGAAAATGGTTTCTGTCTCCAGGGAAAGTAAGAAGATACTGAAAGGATCATGATTAACCTGGCCCCATTATAAATATTCACTAGCCACAATAATTTTCTCCTTTTTCTGAGAATATTTTTTTTTTCCTTTTCTGACCAGAGTAAGAAAAATAATTAAGAACTAAATATTGGGCCTCCCTGGTGGCCTAGGGGTTAAGTCTCAGTGCTACCACCATAAAGGCCTGAGTTCAATCCCTGGTCAGGGACCAGGGATCCACAGGGCACAGCAGACCTCTCCAGTCTCGCCCACTGCTCCCTTCAGCAGTGTATTTCAGTAGATCCATCTGTTCTGCTCCCCACACTGTCTCTGGTAAATCCTCTCACCCTCCTGCACTTCTGGTCTATACCCCAGTTCTTCTACACAAAAATAAATAAAATCTTTTTTAAAAAAATACTGTCACTAAGTTTAAAAAAACAAAAGAACTAAATATTAAAAGTAGACTATCAGCTAGCAGACTTATTTCCTGGTGTAATCAGTAAAATGAAAAGGGTTAGTTGGGATGTCAATAAGAATAAAAAGGAAGCCAGTGATACTGCTTGCTAATATCATTTGATAAGAGGGTACTCAAACTCCTGTGAGTGTATAGTATTTATTCATTATGCCTTTTGTACAAAAGTTCTTTTCTCCTTCTGATTCCAAGCTCAATCTGGTTTCTCAAATAAATTTTCTTAATGTAAAATGATAGTGACTGATTTAAGTCAGTTCTGGTAAGTTGAGTGCGGCCTACCCTGACTACCTCCTCCTGAGCAGAGTCTAAAGCTCATTAGGGTCATAACAGTAATCTTCAAAGTTTATTTGACTGGGCCTCACTTTGTCTATCATACCAAGGCCTGAGAATATTCTCAAAAAGCATTTCCAGCACAGTGACTAACCCCAGGTCCCTCCTCACACAGTGGAGCATTTGCAGACTATGCAGCAGTCATCCCTTTTTTGCTGACCTCTACGTTTGATCTATTATTTCTAAAAAAAATAAGAACCTCTTATTTCTTAGAAAAATAACATGTACACAAGGGAAAAAAATGCCAATATTTATTTGAAAATACATCTGTAGATATGCTAATTGGACCTTGAACTGCTAAAGGTATGCAGAAAATTTTCTCCAGTTACTTACTGCTCCACAATAAAAGCTAGTAATGACCTTTAAAAATGTTATCTAACCACATAATAAAAATTATTGAAATAGCTTCCACCTCATTCCTTCCATGTAAAAAACATACCTCTTTACCTACTGTCTAGGCCTTTGTGGAACACTGTGATAGATTTTCAGATAATAAAAATTTTTTATGATAAATTATGTTTTAAAATTATATGGAAGATAGGTATTTTAATTATGTAAATTATTAAGATTGTTAGAGAGCAGGGTCTGTATTAGATACTCTGCCGATAATGTCACTATCATAGCACTAAGTATATGAGAATAGATGAGGACTGCTATTGTCACCAAGCAATTGTCATGAAGTTTCTACAGCAAAACAATAAGAGAGCCCATTCCAAAACTCCATCTTCATTTGGCAAATTTCTTTTCATCAAATGGTTGAAGTTAGAGATTCATAAAGATTGTTCCATCACAATTTTATGATCAGTATAGGCCCAAATTTAATTCTCCAATTTCCAAGAGAAAATAAATATTTTAATTAAAAACTCAAAATGCTAGCTACACAACTTATTGTAGAACAAAAACTTTCCATAGCACATTCCCCACCGCCCTTATCATCACTTAAGTATTTGAAAAAATAAAATCAGGAAAACATGCTGACAAGAAAATTGCTTCTGAATTATCATGTACTACAGGAGGAAAGATATTTAAGAAAACAATTAAAGTATAATTAAAAGTGGAAAAAACCTCTAGTAAATTGATTCAAATTTCTACTTTGTTTCAGGCATGGTGCAACACAGGTTTGTGTGGACATTTGGCACCAAGGCTGCACAGAGATGGGGGCTTGTGTCACGATTCTGCCCAACAAACAAATCATTTTCAGGTTTTTAACAAAGAAAAAGTTGCTCTTATGCCTTAAAGACCTTCAAAACCTAGAAGAGTTTAAAATAGTGTCCCCTTTTGGCATTACTGAGAGCTGACTTTCCACGCTGCAGGCTCAGGGAAGTTGCTGATTGTGAGGGGCCAGCCATACCCAGGGGTCCTGTAGCACATGGTTCCCGCATTACTCTTGTCCCCAGAACTCCTTTCTACATACTTTTTAAAAATGCTTATTGAGGGCCTCCCCAGTGGTGCAAGGAGTGAAGTCTCAGCACTATCAAGCTATCAGCAACCACTGCAGCATGAGTTCAATCCCTGGCCAGGGAGCTGACCCACATGGCACGGGAGACCTCTCCTGTCTCAC